AACAGCTTTCCAAATAATCCAAGAGCATGGTGATTGGAGCATTATTGGCAGAGATATAGATGTACCCTTGTTTTGGCCGATAGGGGCATCTGCTAGAATCAGGGATTGTGGATGGAATCCCCTGGTTCTTGTTGTATACTGTGTGTGTTGCCTCCTAATAAATGGGATTGAAGTCCGATCAGAGAGCCACCCCTTTGTTCCTGATTAGATCGCTGTTTACCCTCCAGCCACAGCACTTTTGATCCCTCGATAGCCACCCTCCATACCCTCCGATAAGCATTCGGTTTTTGGAATCCATTTCTTCTAGCATATGAAAACAGGCTCTAGTTGTCGGTTTGATGGGAACAGTGCCCTGTATCTCCCCGTACGGCTGTGTATGTTCTCATCCACCAGTTCTACTCCTCTAGAACAGTGCAATATATCAACCTGGTTCTTGTTGCATTGTTTGACCACTCATTATTGATATATGTTGCTGTTATAAAGATTATTATCAGTCAGTGTTTGGGCCTTATCCATCCTTATCTCTCCTCCACATATTGCCCTCATCAGCATTCAAATATGACTCTGATAAACCCCTAATGTATAGATCTGAAAAGGGCTTCAACACACCTATCCAACGCAGTTACAATCATGAAAATCGGTGAAGAACTGAGGAAGTGACAATGTCTACATCTGAAACAGGGCACATTTTACCCTTCAGCCATATCTCTCACTTTGCACAAACATGAAATGAGGCACACACTCTCATGTAACCAGTGCAATAACATATGGACCATGTTTCAGGATGATATTGGACATGAATTAGCACCTTTGCCACATGTGAGAGCAACTGTACCATCCTTTGCATGGTTGTGGGAGAGGTATGTGCAAAGGTTTTAGACCACACATTGCAGTCCAGTGGCACATCCTAGGCACAGATGTAAGATTTCAGCCAACTCTTGGCCATTTCACATGGTTCTTTTTGCATCTTGCAGCTGTGTTCAAGGCAACTTCAGATTGGCTTCACATGTTACTATTGGATTATTGTGCGTAATAAGATCAGGGGGGGAAGTGGGGGACGGATGGGGGTATTACACCATAAAACATGGTCTGATAAGAAGGCACCCTGCATTTTTGAGGACCTTATGAAAGTGTTTAGTAGGTGCAGCAAACACCATAGTGATATATTGCACTGTTCTAGAGGAGTAGAACTGGTGGATGAGAACATACACAGCCATACGGGGAGATACAGGGCACTGTTCCCATCAAACCGACAACTAGAGCCTGTTTTCATATGCTAGAAGAAATGGATTCCAAAAACCGACACCCTCACGGAACTTATAACAGTCCTACAGTGGAGTACACATAAGGACATGCTCGCAGTCGACACTGATGCATACTCACCTCGACCCAGTATTCAAAACCCTCCCAGCTCTCCACCAATTCCTGCCACCACTCCGCGTTGCTGACGTTTCGCAGGTATTCCTTCGTGTCCACCATCCAAGTCGGAACCTCCTTGCGGTTATCGACAATCTCCACAGCCTCGTCCGCTGACTTGCCAAGCATGACTTGCTCCATAAGAGTGCGGTTCCGGGCGATGGTGTTACGCTGTGTCTGGTCATAGGTGAGTTCCTGCGCTTTGGGAGGTGGAGCGGACGTGTCGGCTGCAGTGTCGCGAGATGAGACAGTGGGAAGGGGAGCATTCAAGGAGGGATCGGTCGTGGTGGAGGAAGTGGAAACCACAGAGGTGCCTGCGCTTGAGGCGATCACGGTCGAGGCAGAGAGTGTAGCGGAGGTGCTGGTTGTGGTTGAGGAAGAGGCTGTGGCCGAGTTCGGCGCTTGTTTGTCTCCCTCATCACCGTCCGTGGAGGAGGCGCTTACCCTCGGCTCGCACTCTTCAGCGTCGCCCTTGTACAGAGAAGCAAGCTGCTTTGGCAGCGCTGGGTCTGGAAGACGTGGTGAGTGTCAGAAAATTTGCTAGATACGCATCTCACTTACCGAATGCTTTTGCGATAAAACCATCGAACGAGTCACGGACCAGTGGCCATTGTTCACAAGAGTTGAATCAGGTTTGGCTGGTAAGTGTCTCCCCGTTCATGATCCTGGAAAACAGCATGGGTTCAAGTTGCCGTTATCAAAGCTCACACTGATCACGTACGAGAAGGTTATCAGATCCCCGGACTCTGGGTTTGGTCCACCCAATAGCAATGTGCCTTTCAACCCTGTTTGTTCTTCGAACACCTTCAAAACATCCATTCCCATGTAGGTGACACTGTCAATTGACCTGGCGATCAAGGCAATGAGTACCTGCAACACACAATTCCTCAAGACATGTACGTACCGTTGCAAAACCTGTACCTCTTGCCGCGCATTCGCGTTACCCTCGCTCATGATGTTATCGAACATTAGCAGAATCGTCGGGCGCCCCTCGTAGTGATGCTGGCGGTATTCCTCGACTTCTTGCTTCACACTGTCGGATGCCTCTGCAAGCAGGCGGTCGCACTCCTTGTTCTTGAACGCGAACCATCCCATCGGTTTGCCCGCACTGAGAGGGAACACCTCGTTGCGCCCTTTGAGGTAGTCTTGAAAGCCCTTCTTAAGATCGTCCCTGATGTCGTCCTTGAACAGGTGCATGAAAGCCTGATGAGGCATGATCTTTTGTGGCTTTCGACACTGGAGATCGAGCACCACACCAGTGTTCTTTCCGGTGTTGCGCTTGCCACCATCACCCGGACCGCTGTCGCCCATGCCGCTGGAGTCGCCCGCGCCACCATTGCCCAAGGCCTTCCCCTTCTTGCCGCCGCATTGACTAGTGATCTGTCTTGTCTTGTTGCAGAACCACCAAGAAATTTGCTGTATATGGTATGTAACATCAGGAAAACCCTCACTTGCTAATTAGAGAAAATTCGCTCTAATTAGTGCTCATTAGCAAGTCTTCTCTAATTAGAGCGAATTAGAGTTGCACATTGCTAAGGCATCTAATTAGAGCTAATTAGACGCAAATTAGATCTTCATGAGCTCTTCATTAGCTGCAAGGTAGATCTCAAGGAGCACTCAACGAGGGCCTAATATGCTCACACAATGCTCTCAATAGATCACACAAATGCATAAGAGGAGCAAATAAATTTATATTCATCATGCTACAAGGTACAAACTACAAACTACATATGATGACGCAGACACTGGGTATAACGGCCTCTCTGTACATACCCAGTGGGGGCTGGAAGGTGCAGGTGACGTGGGTGAGACGTGGGCGACACAGATCACGCCGGCGAGAAGACGGATAAAGTGGGCGGCCGTCGTGAAGCCGGACGAGACGGTCAACATGTGCGAGGGCGACGCGGGCGAGGGCGATGCGGGCGACGATGAGGCGGCGGGGTCAGCACCATCAGACCGGGGCAGTGAGCATGCGCGATTGCTCAGGGCAGTTGTGGAGGCGGGTTGGCGGGAGTGGTCCGCGAGCCGCGGCACTGGGAGCTCATGACTTCAGATCAAACACTGGGGATTGGGACGGTTATGACTTACTTAGCAGACTGAGAGGAAGTGGGTGCGGAGGCAGGCAGCCAGCGCGACCAGATGTGCGGGTGTTCGCCGCGTGGCAGTCTGGTTCGTCGAACGCCCACGCGGTCGCTGAGCGATGTGTGGCTCGCCTTGCAGCACGCCCACCGCGCAAGGGCGTCTTCGTCCTGCTGCGCGTCGCTCCCGATGGTGTGCACGAGCGCGAGCACAAGCCCGGATTGTGTGCTTGAACGTGGCGTGGTTCAGCACGAGCACCTGTATGGCCCCGGCAGGAGAGCGCGTGGAGGACGGGGCAGGGCAGAGCGAGCAAAGGCGACGCTGGGGTGACGCGGACGGTCGGGGCAAAGGGTGGTATGTGCGGGATGGGTGGTTGAGATCAGCACAAGCACGAGAAAGTAGTGGAGAAGACACACAGGAGATGGTCGTGGCGTGATACAGGCGCGGGTCGATGACGGCGACTTGGCCGGGGGAGGGAAACCAGCCGGTGACGGTGTTAATGAGAGGGGGATACTTGTCCGAGGTATGGGATCACTCACTTCACAATGATAGATACCATCAAATGAGGTAGAATCGGCGGCGATGAGGCGTGCGGGAGAGGAGAGTGGTGGATGGAAAATGAGAAGACGATGCGCAGGATGAAAGGAGCTCACCGGATTAAAGCCACTACGTGGCGAGCACACGCTGTCGCAGAGGGTATCCTTGGACGAGAGGAGGGACTGGGGAGCCAGTGAACGTGCGTGATGATGATTCATGCGTGCTCGTACGCATGGAGCACGGGAGGCTGGCGTGGTCAATATAGAGGGGATTGGAAGGTGGTAAGGGTGAGGGTGAGCCAGAGAGCGAGCGCGGCGAAGTTGCCGCAAGCGCGGAGTCCAGGCGACGCGCGTCCGTTCCACGCGAAAGTGGCGCCTGCCAGCGTGTCTTTCCCTTCCCCCGTCCCTCATCGTCCGCCGTCTGGCCATCGACTGCAGCATCAACCGCAATCCGCGACGTGTCCGATGCGGCAACGTTCTATGGAACAGGTACGTCCATCGCATTCGTCTTATCATCGACCACCTCCCTCGCGCCGACGTGTGCGAGCCTCCCCCTTCAGAGAGCCCGAGCTCGTCCAAAATAAAGCCCCCCACCGATCCACCACTAAACCACAGCCGCAGTGCACACGAAGAGGTACGTTGGTACGATCCCATTCTTCGCGCATCCTGCTCACGCCCCAGCCCCGGTTTCCTCCCTCTAAGACCCGTGCCCTGTACACAACCAGCGCCGATCCTCAGTCGTCGACACCACGCCCGACGCACCCCGCGATCGATATGACCCGTTGGTCGCCGACCCACCGTGCCCGATATCATGCGATTGTGAGTTCATCGCCCACCCCACTCTTGATGCTGGTATGCCTTCCCCTTCCCCCCTGCCCTGAGCTCGCTCGCTCGCGCTCATTCCACCACACCGCCCTCAGGAATCATGCACCCGCGTTACCCCGAGCAGGTCGCTGCCGGTCCGTATCCATGAGCTCGGGGACCTCCGCCGCTAGCTCGAGGTCAAGAATTGCCCCGCTAACGCGCTCCACCCAGGACGTCGACCCCTCCTCTTCCCCCAACTGCTCGCAGTACGAGCTCGTCAAGCTCGAGAACGAGCAGCATGACGCTGGTGAGCACGTCTTCGCTCTGCGTCACACCCAGCGTGAGCTTATGGCCCCGTCGCCACGTCACACCCGCATCGCCCACCTCAACCACAACACCTGCGTTATTCACCTTGCCCGCCTCACTCGTGTCGCGATCTCGGCCACCGCTCATCTCGCCCGCGTCGCCTATCTCGCCCGTGTCGCCCTCTGCTCCCACACCGCGCGCGACCGCATCGCCCACTTCTTCCGCATCGTTCATATCGCCGTCTTTGCCCACCTCGCGCGTGTCACCCGCATCACCCACTGGAGCTTTGTGAGTCATTTGCGAATCTTGCTGAAATCGTTCCTAACCAACGGTCGTGGTGCACGAACACACCAGCGTGCATGCCGGCTCAAGTACAAGTGGCACTCGACATACGCGCAGACAAGCCTGTTCGACTCGCGCAGGGTAGCCGGCCTACCGTTCATTCATCCACCCCTCCTAACGTTCACCTCGCTCGTCGCACACACCTCACCTGCGTTGCGTGACACGTCCGCGTTTCGCCCCCGCGTCGCCCGCGCCCACATCGCCCACACCCGCGTCATTCACGTCGCCATGTCGCCCACGCGCCTCGTCTGTGTCGCTCGCTTCCCCTTGCCAGGTTATCCATGTCGCTAGTGTCATCCATGGTCACCCATCTCGTCTGCATCGTCCACATCGCCCGCGTCGCCGCCCACCTCGCTTGTTTCGCCCACGTCACCTGTGTCATCTGTGTTGGATTCTTTAGTCGAGTGGCTGTATGTCTGTCTGTCTTGTAGTCTTTAGTCTTTACTCTGTATCTCGTAGTACAACAAATATAGAGCTTCTCCTTTACCTTTGTGTGATCTATTGAGAGCATTGTATGAACATATTAGGCACAAATTGAGTCCTCTTTGAGATCTATCTTGCGGCTAATGAAGAGCTCCTGAAGATCTAATTTGCATCTAGTTAGAGCTAATTAGATGCCTTAGCAATGTACTACTCTAATTCGCTCTAATTAGAGAAGACTTGCTAATGAGCACTAATTAGAGCGAATTTTCTCTAATTAGCAAGTGGGGGTTTTCCTGATGAAGTCGCAGCTGTATACAACATTGGCGGAGCACTCACACTACAAAGTGGCGCTCTTCAGTTTACGACCACTTCACCCAGCGGAAGATTGTGACCGCGCCAGTCTGTATGACCCAGTCCTAGTCGCAGCGACGTATCGTGACTGGGTACCGCAGGAGGAGTCAGGGTGAGTACGAGACGAGTGGTGATGAGTATGTATGAGTCAGAGGGTAATGAATATGTATATAACGAGCCTGCATATCTGGCGAGCGGGGGTTATGGATGGAAATTAAATGGGGGCAGTGTACTGGTGTCCGTGATCGTAACATCAGCTCCCTCTCCCAGGAAGGGTCGTCCCGACCTTCTACACGTCGGTCGACGTTGTTGCGTCCGCAGAGGGGGCGTGTCTGATACCCACAGCCGTGAGGTCTGAGGCGATCTGAATCGATACCCGATCAACGTACTCCTGGAGAGGGAGGTGGGCACCCTCGTAGTTCTGGAGGATGGTGATGATGGGCTGGTTGAACTTCTCGCGGTAGACGTTCCACGGTTGTGTGTTGACAATGCGGTTCTCGACTACTTCGTCACAGAGGGCGTTGATGTGTTGCGCGATGGCTTCGGCGACGAGGAGGTGGAGGTCCCGCCGGATCTTCGCATGTACTTGGGGGAATCCGATCTCCAAGTACTCGTAGAGACGTGCCGGGGTGAACAGTTCCGGCCAGGAGTCCACTCGTGCCCCGAGGTAGTGGTTGACGCCGACGTGGGCCGTAATGACGTACCGCCCCGATCCTGCCTGGACCCGCCACCAAGGCGTGCAAGGTGGGGGGTGAACGAGGACAAGCTCGTCGTTGTGGTAGTCAATGATCTCCGCCTCGAGCTTGGCAAAGATGTTGTCGAGGGCATCGTGGTGGCGCGTGCACGGGGACTCGTCAGGTCCGGTGAGGGTGAGGCGCGAGGAGCTTGCGAGGGTTCCAGGGGGAACGTTGAGGACTCCACATCGGACTCCAGGCTCTGCGTCCGCGGTCTGCACTCGGACCCAGTTGCGGTGAACCATCAGGAGGGATTGGGCTGCGAGGAGGTCGGTAGTGGGGACCGGGGGTTCGTTCTCCTTGTCCGAGTTGTTGTTTTTTTTTTTTTTTTTTTTTTTTGGTAGAACACGTTTGTCTTACGGAGACATTGGTCCCAGTTGAGGGCTTGTTGTGTCTCCTATGTAAGCGTGTGGTCTGTCGTTCCCGAGGAATTGAAACCAGGGGTCGGACAGTGGCATATAGTAATCATAATCATATTGTGTACCGCGAGGAAATGCTTTTGCGCACTGGGTGTGGGACTCAAGATATCGTAGGGGGTGCTTTCATCCTTTCTTAATACCCACTAAAACCCCGCATGATGTTACCCAGTCGTCTGGGAGGTTTTCTGAGTCTTCTAGAAGTGGTGACCATGTGTATTCGACTCTGGCTATGGTTTGTTTTCTTCTTTTTCCGACCATCTGAGCCGCGGTGCGCCTATCTAGATCTAGGCGCCTGTCAATCGTCGCGTTCCATCTCTGCGTTACTTCTCGCTCTGAGTGTTCTCGACCCTCGTTCGCAATCACTCTTTCGCACCTCAGTTTCCATACTAGATGGGCTGCTTCTGTGGCCAGTGTGGCCCATCTCATTTCACCCGCTGTGTCTCTTTCGTCATTTCCTTCTTGCTTCAGCTCTATTGCTCCGGCCGCGAAGATCGACCCCCAGTCTGGGACAATTTCCGGCATTCCGGTCGCTTCGCACATGGCGTTCAGAGCCTTCCATATCGTTTCTCTTCCCGTTGCGGTACATGTGAAGAGTACGTGTTCCATTGTTTCGATTTGGCCGCAAGCCTTGCATATTGCTCTTTTCTTGAGATCGTCGGGCATGTTTGGCTTTAGCCAGTTATTCCCTATCATGTATGCATCATGGATTGACATCCACATCCATTGGGCTGCTTCCCTTGTGATCTTTTCGCGTTTTCTGACTGCTTTCCATATGGTTTCTTCGCGGAGTTTTGTTCCGAAAGCAAGATTGAAGTCGTCTTTTATCTTTTCGATGTTTCTTACGGTCGGTGCTCTCTTTTTCGTTGTTCTTGCTTTGTTTACTCTGATTGCCCTGTAGGCCGTCTTCTGTGTTATGAGGTTGAGTCTGGCACCCACAATTTTTAGTTCCGGGGGGATTTCGAGTGATACATCGTCGTGCGTTGTTTTCTCTGCGCCTCTGCCCGCGAGCTTATCAGCTCCTTCATTCAGCTCGTGGCCGTCATGTCCCTTTACCCACTTGAAAGCCGTTGGGGCTTTCCTTTGTCGTAGTTTTGCTACGATTGCTTTGGTGATGTTCGAGTTCTTCTTCCCGATATATCCTGCGTTTTCGTTAACTCTGATGTGTTTAGCGACTTCGTCCATGGTCGTTTTGGAGTCTGTCAGTTGCAGTAGGGGTGTACGACTATTCACAATCTCTGATGCGGTAAGTGTTGCTATTCCTTCTCCCGTTTGGTTCGTTTGTTCGATGTTGGGAGGGAGTCTGATTACTCGGTTTAGGGCGTTGTTCTCTCCCCCGTATACTCCCGCTCCCGCTTGGGCGTCCTCTTCTCCGTTTCTCAAGCATGATCCGTCCGTGGCTAGCGTGAGTGTTTCTTCTTCCGATTCGAAAACATTTAGATACTTTTTCTTCCACGGTGGGTTCTCTTCTGAGTAGTCTGTGAAGATGCGCAGTGTCGAGCTTATATTTCCTCTAGTCGTTACCCTTGGGTCAAAGATAACGGTGTCCTCCACCTCTTCAAAGGTCCTCTTCGCCTCTTCAAGCTGGGCGGTTTCGTGGTCCTCTTGGTGTTCGCCTCGGGGGTCCCATTTCGGTGGGAGGGTGTCAAGGTACGCTTTCGCTCTTTCGAAACATTTATGTGGGTTCAGGCATCCCGTCGTTTCTTTCATCTCTTTGCATTCTGCGCATGGGCATTTTCCTCTGGGGATGTGGCCTCTTCGTTGTAGCTTAGTTGCGAGCTCTTCGAAATCTCCGACTGTTTTCGATTTGTGGGTTTTGATTAGGCAGAAAGTCGCCTGCGATGTTTTGGTCAGTTGGTTCTGTTTCTTTGTGTCCATATGGACGTGGTTCCACATGGGCATTTGTCTCATTACATGTCTGGATACTGCTATGGCGTCTGGTATCACTGCATATTTTTTAACTGCTTTCATCATGTTTTTGAGCTCGTCTGGTAGATCGCTCATCTTTGGTTTCCAGGCTTGGTATAGTGGGTTGATTCTCAGTTCGCGCTCTTTTGGTTGTACGTCCTTGGTCACGTTGGATGCTAGGATATCTTCTGCTAGGTACGTCCACCATTTTCTCGGGTCGTTTTCGTTGACTGTTGCGAATTCTTTCAGCCACATGACATCGATAGCCTCGTTTCTGCTGTCCAGGTCTAGTGTCTTCATTCCGCCCTGTTCGATAGGGAGGTTCATGGTTTTCATTGCTACTGGTGGGGTGTGCCGCTCGTTCCATAGGAAGTCTCTCATCATGGTTGTGAGTCGCTTTTTTACGCTTTTTGGCATTCTCTGAACATCGGTTAGGTATTGTGTCATTCCTCCGAAGAACATCTGGACGACGTGCGAGTTGTTGTTTTGAGTGTAAGGAGGGGGCTGCGGGGTGGAGGTGTCTTGGGCACGCGTTACAGCGGCAGGGAGGTCGAGTACTGGCATAAGGGGCGGCAGGTCGTCCGTGGTGCCCGTGTTCGCCAGAGTGAGAGCGTTCCAGGCGGCCTGGTTGCGTTCTCGTTCTTCTGGAGCGGGCTCGCTGGGGGATCCCCATTCTACGATGTCGGAGGGGATATTTCCCCAGGGGGGAAGGTGCTGCTGGCTAGTGGGGAGTAGGTCGTCCAGGGCGGCTGCAACCTCAATACTGGTGAGTTGGTCGAGGGCGACGTCGGCAGCTCGTACGAGTAGGGCCTGAAGGGTCAGCGAGGCGTCCTTGGCGACGGCCTTCTAGCTGGCAGGGGCTCCGGCGCGTTGCACGAAGTTGTCGACCTTCTTCCAAATGTCGAACACCTCGGTCACGATGCGGTATTCGTTGATGAGGGGCTCGGTGTGGGGGATGTGTTGGGTTCGGTAGCGGACGTGGCCGTGGAGTTCGGAGTGTGCAACGGTCCATCCGATGCGGTCTCTGAGGGTCCCGCGACTCTCGTTAGTGACGCGGGAGCGGGCCGCGAATGCCAATCGGAGGAGAGGGAGGGGTGGATGGGTGTAGATGGACGGTGGATGACCTCAATGTAGTGGTGCAGAGGCGTCGCCGGCACTAGGCGCAAAGCAGACGCAAGCTAGAGTCACACGAGGGATGTCTAGCCCACAAAGACCAAGTTAACATAGCTCTACATACATACAGGCAATCGAGATACTCACCTAGCCCACAAAGACCAAGAGGTCGAGATGAGGGCTAGGACACAAAGTGCAAGTGCTAAGAGAGTCCGCGATACGGGCGCTTAAGCGCGGGAACAACCTTCCAATATAGTAGCAGGCAGAGAAAAGGCAAAGAAAAGATGAAAAATAATACATAGGGCGAGTCCAGAGTCCGTTCCATGACAACCAGGGCGCTTGGCGAGGCGCTCATAGTGGTGGGCGTGGTGCGCACCCGCGCAGTAACCGCACGCCGGAGGCGCGCGGCACTGGAGCGCTGCACAGTGCGTGCCCGAACTGCTGGCAGTTCGAGCACTGGATGGGGCGGTCGGGGACGCGCGCGAGGACGCACGCGTGTGGGCCAATGTCGAAGGAGAGCCACGACCCGTTGAGGGCGCGCAGCGTCTTGAAGTCCTTGTCGTTGATGACGTCGAGGAAGAGGGTGGCGGTGGTGGAGTCCGCGGCGTGAGGGCCCATCAGACAGAGGTGGTGGTATCGGGGAGGAGCGCGCGGCCGTCGGTCCACGCGGTGCTGCCGGAGCGGGTGATGGTGTCCTGGAGGACACTGAGGGGGGAGAGCTCGACGAGGGAACCATCGTCGGCGAACGCGGTCTGCTTGACATGGTAGAAGAGGACGGAGGCCCGGTTGATGTACCTCGAGGCGCGCATGGGCACCCTGAGGAGTCCGCCGAGCGCGGTCTGGAGGGCTGCGGCCTGGGCGTCCCAGTCCGCAGGCGCGTCACGGGGGCGGCCGCGGGGACGACCGTCCACCGCGTGCGCGCGGCGTTGGAGTTGAGCCGGTCAATGTTGAAATTGACCACCTTGCGGAGTGCCTCGAGGCACTTGGCGTCGCTCGCCTCCAGGGGGTGTCGGGAGGGGTTGGGGCGGGCGGCGTGGAGGTACACCAACTGGGCGGACCCGGTCGGGCGGCAGCGGTGGAGCGCAGCCAGGGTGGCTTGGAGCGCCGTCGGCGCGGCCTTGGCCGGGGCGATGGGAGTAGAGGCGGGGGGGGGGCAGGGGCCGTGGGAGTGGCGGCTGCCGCAGGGCGCCCGACGAAGCCCTTGCGGGCCGCGCCGGTTACCCCCTTCCCCTTCCCCTTAGCGCCGGCGCATGCAACCGTCGCCCAGGTGGGCTCGGGGACGCTAGCCAGGGCCGCGGGGCCGGGGGCAGGTTGGGTCGGAGCCCCGAAGGGCCTGGCTGGAAGGGCCGCGACACCGGTGGGTGCAGCAGGCGTGAGAGCGGGGGGCACAGGGCCAGCCACGGGGGCAGCCTCGAGGACGGGGGCAGGCGAGGGGGAGGCTGGAGGCGCCGCCTGGAGGGGAGGGGCGGGGAGGGGTGCAGTCGGGGGGAGCTCGATGGGGACGACGTCCATGGTGTCCGCCGCAGCCGGCGGGGAGGGGAGGCGGCCGCGCGGGCTGCCTTGTCGCGGAAGTGGGCCGCGATGTTGGCGTAATCCATGGCCAGCACGCACTGCGTGGTGTGCTGGATCCAGAACTGTGAGAGGGCATCGCCGGACTGGCCAGGCGCCCTGTTGAAGAGGTCGGAGGCCTCTGCGAAGTTGGTGTTGTTGAGGGGGCCGAGCTTGAGCGCGATCCCGAAGATGTGGAGAAGGAGCTCCCGCGCCGTGGGGGTGGCAGGAGCTGCGGGGCAGGGGGGCAGGGGCAGGAGCAGGGGCGGGGCCGGGGTGTGGCTCTTGCCACGGCGTGTTACATTCAAGACTTATTCTGGATGGAATACAGCCTAGGCACCCTGTGGTTACGGTGGCGATGCTCTGGCGCTTGCGTGCTATCGAGCGAGTGCGAGCGACAAGAGGATGAGATTGCGCGTAGCTGAGGTAGACGTAGTGTACAAAGGAGATTCAAGTCTGGGGAGTGAGCGCTCTGGGGTGTTGTCCTTATATACAGGGGCGAGAGTGGGGAATCATATTATCTACGAGTCATCGCCAGTCCGCATGACACAGTCCTAGTCGCAGCGACGCATAGTGACTAGTTACCACAGGAGGAGTCAGGACGAGTACACGATGAGTAGCTATGAGTATGTATGAGTCAGAGGGTATAGCATGTGTATTTAATGGGTCGGCATATCGGGGGAGCGGGGGTTATGGATGGAAATTAAATGGGGACGGTGTACTAGTGTCCGTGATCGTAACACGGCGGGGGCGTGCGGTGAACGTGAGGTCGTCCTCACTGTCCGTCCAGGCGTCATCGGGGTTGCCGCTGGCGATGATGGAGGCGGAGGCCGCAAGCATCAGAAAAACCCTCACTTGCAAATGAGTGATAACACCACTAATCTTAGAGCTAATACTAGTCTAACGGTGTAACAGTGAACTAATACACATATTTTGCACTAATGGAGTTGGGGAAGTGCTTGTTTGCACTAATGGAGTTGGGGAAGTGCTTGTTTGCACTAATAGAATTGGGGGAGTGCTCATTTACACTAAAGTAGAACTTGTGAAAAACCAATATCACCAATTTGCACGCATTCACATCAGTAGATGTAATGCAAACTAATCACTGACTACTGAAACACCTTCGAGCAATCTCAAAGCAAAGATATATTACTTTTAGTCTAAGTATCAATGTACTACGACAAGTCGGTGTGCGCGAAAGGTGATGGGCGCCACGACGCGCCACCCTAGTGCTTAAGGTGCCATGCAGAGCCTAGCGGCTTCGTCGCACGGGGTCGCAAGCGACCGCGGCGCTGTTGTTCTTCTACATTCGTTCCGTGGAGGCGTAGGCGTCCGTCGAGGAACTCGGTGTCGGCATCGGCATAAGCGTCGACCACCATCCGCGTCCGCATTCTCCGCATTGGCATCTATCGTGTTTGCCACGGACGACTTCGAGCTGCGAGAGGAGCCGTGGGCCGTGTTCTTCGCCGTGGCTGTGGGGTTGAGGCTGGGGAATGACTCGCAGACCGGCTGGGCGAGCTCTTTGCAGTGGTGACAGCAGTCGTAATCGTCGTCCTGCGAGAGCGTGGCGATGCGCTGTTCTTGTGGTCGTAGTCAGGCCTGTCGCGATCTTGCCGGGAGTAGACGCCGCTCGAGGAGAGCCTATTCAAGACGAGTGCGAAGGGTGGGTGGGGAGGGTGTTGTTACAATGAACAGCGCGGTCCGAGCCAGAGAGAAAGCTGTGCCTGTCGGTGTACGAGCCTGGGGGCCGCTTGCAGGGCGCCCAGGGCGAGGATCGCCGCAGGCAGGCTGTGGAGGTGGCGTTCAGACTCATCGAGTCCGACGTCCTGCGACGGTCAACGTGATTCATTTTCTTGCGGCATCTATCGGATGCGTCAGGAGGAGGACGTGAGGACAATGCAACGGAGTTACGTACCAATCGTAGATACACCGGCCCTGGTCGTTCGTCGCAGGGTTGAAGCCGATGGTCACTAGCCGGACCCAAGATGATGCTCCCGTTCAAACCTGCGGGACAATCAGATCAGCACGGCGTAAAGTGGCCATATTGTAGAGGACTTACCCATTGTCATGATAGGCTTCTCGACGCTCAGGCCCGTTTGCGGGGGCCTTCTGCGTCTGACCCGATAGCGACTGCTGGCTGCCTGCATGACCTTCCCCAGGTAACTGGAATGCACGTGGATGAACCCGCGCCCGCGTCCGTGGAAATCGGTGCGGCTGGGCGACGAGGAGCGCCCGCGCCTGCGCCCTGCAGCTGCTGCGGGGGCATCCCGTCTGACGTTGTGGCGTTGATGAGCATGTCGTCGAGGCTCATGGAGCTCTCGCGCGACCCACTGCATGAGGATGGAGCGAGGGCGTCGAGGCTGAGGGTGACCCGTGTGAGAGTAGCGGGGATCACCATGCGGGCGGGTGGGGTAAGAGTAGTGGGGGTGGAGGCCGGGTGGAGGAGGCGTGTGGCAAACGGAGAGCTGGGGGAGCGGTCGGTCGAGTGTCTGTTAGGGTAGGTGAGCTGGAGGGCTGCACGCATATAGCCGTGCGAGGAGATGAAATCACGGCCATACGTGAGTGGCGATTCACAGACACCTACAGAAAGGAAA